GTTTTCTGGGAGAGTGTAAATTTTGACTTCTTACGAGCTGAAAATTTGCATTACCCTGAAATATGAAATAATTACTTGCATCCTTGACTGGATATTTTAACTGCGTCACATCATCTTAGTGTCCATTGTTCCTCATGTTTTTGTATTTTCAATTCGTTTTATGATCATTGTAATATAAAAAGTTAACTAGATATTTATATAATCGGACATCCCTATGCATGAATACAAGTGGTGAAAACTTCTACCCAAGCCAAATATCCGGATACACAACATACATACAAATTAGTTCAAGATTTACTGTTTGCAATAATCTTGTACGTATACATTAAAATACCCACTCCTCACAACTGCAACACATCAGCTTCCCTACTTGATGTTCACTTCCGGTCTGCAACAAAAGAACCAAGTCTGCTCTTTTGTGTCGCTTCCGCCTGAGGCATTCTGTTGATAGGACCAATTCCATGCAGCGACCAAGAATAACAATAACGAGAATGCAAGACTGCAATACGTTTCCACCTCATCAAAAGAGTGAGCAGCTTGGTTCTGCTTTAGGTATGTATATGTATTCTGTGACACTATGTAGAACAGACATAAACACCAGCAGCGTTCAAGAAGTGCACAGCATACGCTTCCTTCGATACCGGATTTATGTACCGTGAATCGCCGCATCGTCGTTGGGGTAGCTAATGGGGGTGCCAAGGGGGTCAGGACCCCCTCAGAGTTTTCAGTGTTTTATTTTTGACTCGCCGGTATTTTGTCAAGCTTGTCAAGTTCGATGTTATTATTTAACAGTGATTAATAAAATTGTACCACAAATAATGATTTTTTAAAAGTTCTTTAAGTTGACTACTTTTCTTATGTTGGGGACTAGAAGAAACAATTTTGAGAAATCATATTATATCAATATTTAATCGATGTATGTCATAAGACGTTTTCGTGCTCTACAAATTGGTCATGAGCCCAGGGATTTTTTGTCAACTTCTGGGAGCTTCGTAAAACTTCAAGGGCTTCTAAATAGTTCAAGGAACATCGTAGAAAGTGAGGAAACTTAGTAGAAATTCTAGGAACTTCATAGAACTTTAGCGAAAATCGTAAAAACTTGGAAAAGCTCTGAAAATTGCGTAGAAGTAGGTTTGAGGAGCTTCGTAGAAGTTAAGGGAACATTATTTTATTTTAGAGAAGCTCATTATTGATCGGGAATCAAATTCAAGAAAATTTCGTTCGTGGAACTACGCGAAAAATCACCGAGAAACGTAGAAGTGCAGCAAACTTTGTAGAAGTTTTGCGAATTTCGTAGCATTTTGAGAATATGAAAATTAAATATAAGTGTAAGGAATTTTGAAAAAGTTCAGGGAATTTCTAGACTTTTTCTGGAAGTTCCCAGAAGTAAGGAATTTTGAAAAAGTTCAGGGAATTTCTAGATCTAAAGATCTAAAAATAGTTCAATAAACTTCATACAACTTCAGAGATCCTCGCTTCAGTTTAGGGAACTTCAAAAAGCTCCATGAACTTCTTGGAAGTTTTGGGAACTTCGTCTAATTTCAAGGAAGTTTCCAGATATTCAAGAATATTTGTAGATGATAGGTGTCTTTCCAGAAGTGTAGAATTACGAGGGATGTAAGGAATTTTGTAGAAGTCTGGGAAATTTCGTAAAACCTAAGGGAGTTTTTTTAGAATGAATCTAGATTTTTTGGACATGTTTGTAGATCCTCTATAGCGAAACCTACAACTTTATAACTTCAAAAAAATATAACTTAAAAACGAAAAAAAAAACACATCGATTTTTTTGACCACCCTAACATGGAAATGGTCACCCTAATGACAACATAAAAACGGTCTAATATTATGCGATAAGGAACAAAACTACCAATTTTGACGAAACTCTGAAAACCACAAATCGTTATAAATCGTTTTGTTATGGAATGACTGTATACCTAATATGTATTAATTTCATTCTTTTCGATGAAATTTATGCCTGGAATTCAGCTGCAGAGAGTTCTTGATTTTATATATAACTCCGAATATTATTTAGTCTGATACATCGAATAAAAAAATGTTCTGGATAAATGCTTTAGTACTTTCTTTTCTCTTCAAATATCATAATCATGACATTCATCTGGTATCTTAAAAAACCTGATGAAATTAAATTATATCCTGATTTTTCATATTTTTTTTTCAAAAGTCAATTTTTCTTTCGAAAAATACTGTAAGCCTCAGAATCTAGGTAAGTTTTCCAAGATATTGAATTACGAATTTTGAAGTCCAGGAGATTAAGAGCTTGTCTAAGCCTACACGCTTAGAAATAACTAATTTCACACGTGACGGAATCCATGTTTGACATAAAAGATGAGACGTAAACAAACATGTCATGTAATATTAAGTGTTCCGAGACTGAAAAAGTTCGTTGAGCTATACTTCGCGTCTGTTATGACTCAAATTTATGTCAATATTGACGCTCGTATATGTCACTCTCAGAGTACCTAAATTTACATGATTTTTTCTAAGTGTGTATGTTATTAAAACCTTTTTTTTTATTTTTTTTTCGTTTGTTTTGTTTTCCGTCGATCTTGTTTTCCGTGCTGAGCACCAATGCTACCGACGCCAGGAAGGCAGCTCCCACACCTGGACCCTACCTATCGACTCATCAACTCATGAACCGGGGACCAACGGCTTTACTTCCCTTCCGAAGGAAGGCGTGATCAGAGATGTTATGCCTCAGAACATCCCGACGGCGCAGACTGGGATTGAATCCAGGCCTGCTGGGTTGAGAGGCAATCACGCTTACCACTGCACCACCGGCACCGCTGTTATTAAAACCTTTTTATCCTTTTTTTTATTAAACCTTGAACATTTTCCTAATTTCATTGTTTCCCTTGATTTGTTTTCCGTCGATCTTGTTTTCCGTTCTGAGTACCAATGCTACCAACGCCAGGGAGGCCGCTCCCACACCTGGACCCATCAATTCATGAACCGGGGACCAACGGCTTTACTTCCCTTCCAAAGGAAGGCGTGTTCAGAGATTTTATGCCCCAGAAAATCCTGGTGGCACCGACTGGGTTTGAACCCTGGCCTTTTGGGATTCTTAATGTTCTTAACGTATGAAATTTATTCTGTGTGCACTTTACCATTTCAAAGCCAGAATGTTATAAAATTATTATCTTCAAAATCCTAGAATTTAATTTTGGTTCCTATGCCTGAGATTTATCTGATGATATGATATTGTTGTTCATCTTACATGCTGAAATATGTCCAGTACAGTATGACTCTAACATTTTGAGCTGCCGGCCTCACCTCCGACCACCGGGCCGTAGTTGATGAATATCAATTACTTTTACTTTTTTGATTTTCGGTTTAGCGACTTTGCAGTCAATTTAATTGTTTATAGGAAAGTTTGAACATACTGAGAGGTAAGCACATATCATCGGTAAGAGACGTGTGTGTGAGAAAATTTGCGAAAAAATCTAAGGGCACCGGTGGGCACATCGACTGATACTGAGTGGTTGCGGTACAAGCACATATCGTCGATAATAGACGATTGTTGTGTATCAGAGAACGCTTGCGCAAAAAGGCTAGGGTGGGGAACGGATTCGAAACTCAAATGTCATTAGCCAAATACATCCGTAGACCATAGGTCCACCGTTGTATAATTGGCAATGCACCCGTGTACTGAATGGGAATTGTGGGTTCGAATCCCACCGGTGCCCTTAGATTTTTTCGCAAATTTTCTCACACACACGTCTCTTACCGATGATATGTGCTTACCTCTCAGTATGTTCAAACTTTCCTATAAATTCATTACAAAAAGCATGAACAAACGATCATTGCTTGTTCAAAATTAGTACGCTTTTAAAGCTCCCACAATCGAGGTCCCAATCGTTGTTATGAAATAAATAAATTCAAATTTATTGTTTCACCATTAAAATAATAGTAAGCCTCAATGTCATATTATTGGTCACAGAAAAAACTAACCAAAAACAAGTTGGCTTGACGCAATTTGATTGAATAGCATCTTCGGGAGTTTTTATTTAAATGTAGTTTAGCAAAATAAAAAGAACTCCACCTAGGCCCCCTCCAGATAAATTTTCTAGATACGTCAATGCGCATCGTCGTCATATAAGTGAAATGAAACGCTCATGCATAATGTATCCTGGTCCTGGGCGATCTGCCTCCTCTTAGGACTGGCAAATGAAGCATTGAAAGCCATCAACTCGGATAGGAAGTGGAGTGCTCGTCGTTGTTTGTGGTGCATAATTCAGTTTTACACAGATAGGAAATTGCATTACACAGAACAATCGCTGGGCTGGAAAGCTACTGCTAGCTAATGCAATAGCCTTGAATGGAAAACGTTATTCGCTGGCGCCTTTTCACATTTTCCTGGTTAAACGTAACAAAGGTAAACTTATGCTTTATAAGGTATTCTTATCAAAACCAGATTTTTCAACAAAGTCTTGTCGTCTCTACTAACAAAAAGAGAGATTATATTGCAAAAATCAGTTTTTTCCCAAAAGAGCCTTGGCACAAAGTTTACGTGGCATTTGCAAGGCCGATATGCTATTCCCCACATTGCACACGGTTGATCAGACTTATTAGGTTGAGTTGGATTTTCCGGGGAAAAATCTCGAATTTAATAAAATCCATGAAAATTTAACTCAGTCTAAGAGCATGCAAACTGAGTGAAACCTCCATCGATTTTCCTTATATTCGAAAAGTTTTTTCTTTTGAAAAGCGAGAGAGGCAAAGGCCACGTGAATATTTAGAGAAACACCTCAACATTGTAGCCTTTTACCAAGAATAAGACTCAAAGAGCAACTCGAGTGCGATTTATCTATCTCATGTAAAAATAACAACTTTTAATCATTTTTTCTAATTTGGGCTGGATACGATTGCATTAATAGCGTTAGCGTTAAGCAAAGCAACAAGATTACAAAGCGGTTGGCTAGAATGTGCTAGTATAAAATGAAACAAGAAAGAAAAGAGAAATATCAAGCAAATTTTCTTACCTTTGCGACCCAACCGGATCTATGTCGGCATCCTTGGAGAGTTTCCTGGAAGCGCAAGAGTAGCGTGCAAAGAGAGTAAAAAGAAACGAACGTTGATTCAAAATATCAGCCCGGAGCATTATCGAAGTGCCTTTTTGATGTTTGTCGTGACTGGCGTGAGGGCGTAGGAAATTGGATAACTTGAAGCAAATGACAGTAAAATGACGAAAAACTCTCGCGTCACTTTTCAACTGATCCTATCCACATGGATTGATTCTCTTCATCGACTGTTTCTTTTGTTTATATCTTAGCAGCAAACACATGATCTGATATGTTTGACGTGTTGGGTGCAAGGTAAAGGGTGATACGGTCAAAATTTGGTCAAGGGAAAACGCGTGTAAATCGGTGAAATCGTTTATTTAAAAAATCAAATTAAATTTCTTTTTCAAGTTCAATTAGTATAAAATTCAGGAAAAATATTCAGTTAGGCTTCCGCTTTTCCAAATCCGAATTGCCGGGCCTTACGCTTGACCCCTGCCATCAGATTTTGTACAGCCACCTTGTCCACCTTCTTCGCCGCAGAAAGCCAGTTTGCCTTGAACTGCTGCTCGCCCTTAGCAGTTTTTTTGGTCTTCTTTAGGTTCCGCTTGACAATAGCCCAGTATTTCTCAATTGGGCGGAGCTCTGGCGTGTTAAGAGGGTTCTTGTCCTTGGGAACCACCTGCACGTTGTTGGCGGCGTACCACTCCATGGCCTTTTTACCGTAATGGCAAGATGCCAAATCCGGCCAAAACAGTACGAAACAACCGTGTTTCTTCAGGAAAGACAGCAGACGTTTATTCAAACACTCTTTCACGTAAATTTCTTGGTTGACAGTCCCGGAAGCTATGAAAATGCTGCTTTTCAAGCCACAGGTACAGAAGGCTTGCCAAACCAGATATTTCTTTGCGAACTTTGACAGTTTCATGTGCTTGAAAACATCTACTACCTTTCCCCTTCCTTTTGCCGTATAAAACTCCTGTCCCGGAAGCTGCTTGTAGTCGGCTTTGACGTAGGTTTCGTCGTCCATTACCACGCAGTCAAACTTCGTCAGCATCGTCGTGTACAGCCTCCGGGATCGCGCTTTGGCCGTCGTATTTTGTTTATCATCGCGATTTGGAGTCACTACCTTCTTGTAAGTCGATAGTCCGGCTCGTTTTTTGACTCGATGCACGGTTGTAGACGATACACCCAGCTTATTTGCGGCATCTCGGAGAGAGAGGTTAGGGTTTCGCTTGAAACTACCGGCAACTCTCTTTGTCATCTCAGCGGCTTCCGGTTTTCGATTTCCCCCCGATCCAGACTTCCTGGCTGTCGACAAACGTTCCCCAAACACTTTAATTACATTTGTAACGGTTGATTTGGCAACTTTTAGCGATTTTGCCAACTTTGCGTGCGAGTAGCTCGGATTTTCGCGATGCGCGAGCAAAATTTTGATACGCTGCGCTTCTTGCTTGGACGGCATTTTGACAACTGAAGAGTGAATTCCAAAATCAAAATAGGAGCAACATTCTACACACACACACCTTCAAAATGAGGGGTGTTCAGGTTTTTTAAGCGCAAAATTGAAAGAAATACGTCAAGTTGATATTGACCAAATTTTGACCGTATCACCCTTTAATGCGATCTTTTATCAAAATATATGGCGAAAATAGCATGATATGTGTTTGCATGGCCACGGTTTCTCTTGTAGTATCATTATTATAAAAAAATCAGTATCGCTGAAAAACCCACCAAACGAAATCTTAGGTGCCCCTCTTTCGTTTGAGGCCAGTTTCAAAATGTTCTATCGGTGGTTATTTTTACATACGGTTTTTGGACCTCAATGGTCGAAATACTAAATTTTTGGACGTAATTTACACTGAAAAATACGAAAAAATAAAAACTGTTCTAGACCCCCCGACTAGTCTCATATGAAATGAGTGACCCTAAGTTTACGTTTGGTGCGATACTGTTTTTATTAAGTCCGTGGTCATCCAAAGAGAAACTCGATGAAGAGAATCGATCAATGTAGATAGGACCTATGGAAAAGTGACGCGAGAAATGCATAATTTTTAAAACAGATTCAAAGGGAGTATTTCCAGGACAAAATGCAAACCAGTTGGACATGAGTGTTTCCGATTTTTCTTGGAGGCGAACCAGCCTAAGGCTGAAAGCCTCCTAAATAAAGCTAAATAATAATAATGTTTCCGATTTGAATAAAACATTACTCATATGTTAACTGATACCAATGGTTGAATTTTTCATTTAGAAATGATTTTTTTTTCTCCAGAGTAACTTTAAAAATAGCCTTCGAATACACCGAATTCAAATAGGGATTATATTTTTTTCATAAAATCATAACATGAAAATGATTGATCTGATCAAAATGACATTTGAGAAAAGGTAATTAGACATAAAATTTTGATATTCTCAAAACACTCTTCTATTGATTTTTATATTTTTTTGTAAAACAAGCTGAAGTAATGTCCTAAATTTTGTGAAGAGTGTAAGTCCTTGTCCAAGCTGGCTAAAATGATAAATTTTCCTAGGAACACCATGTGGCGCGTGCTCAAAACGTACAGGGAAACCTTGACGAGAATCGGAAGCCTCAAAGTTAACGCCTACGTGGAACTGCCAACCGTCAGCGTGAGGTCCATCAGAAGCAACCCATGCTGACCAAGTCCCATGGGTGCATACTTATGGATGATGAAACCTAACTATGTAAAGGTGACCATTGAAAGCTACTAGGTATTTATGAAGAGAAAACTGAAGGTTAAAGGTACAGTTATCAAAACGGCGGCTTAGATGAACAATTGGTGGGATAAAATCGCAAAAACAGTGAATGAGGCCGTTGTACGCCGCTTGATGGGTCTTATTAAGGGAAAAGTTCGAGAATTCCTTCGAAACCGCGACGAATAATTCGTTTCGTTTTTTTCTTAAAATATAAGGAATAGTATGCCCTTGAAACCGTTTTCAAATCCGTTAATTTAAATTCGAAATAAACCCAAACGATGTTATTCTATTACTAAGTGGACCATGTTTTAAGACAGTTTAGGCTTTCAAAATTAAAGAATTAAAAAAAAAACTGAATGCATTTTTAAGATTGTGTCAAAAAAGAGATTTCTTTTTTATTCTACCGAGTTTTTGTTTTCAGTTTAGGTAACACAAAATGATCAAAGCAAAACAGAAATGCTCTTAAACGTGGTATGTAAAGCTGAATTTTAAAGTGCTTTGTTTCGAAAGTATCTTCCAAATAAACTAGCATCATCAAAATCATCTGCTTCGCTTACCGCTAAATCTGGTGTCCACCCATTGCCCTCGACACATATTGGTTAGACAAATATATCGTCGGTTTTATTAAAATATATCTTCGGTTCCACGCAATTTAGATTTTTCACCAGAATTGCAATGTTTTGTCTAGGGTTATTAATCGGTAACGATTCATAACGTCTGCGTTCACGTCTGCAATGCAAATTCATCAGTTTATCGACGGTTATTGATTAATAACCCTGGTTTTGTCAATCCACAGTTAGAGAAATATACGGCCTTTGAAAATAAGGTGTAAATAAATGGTATTACTGTCAGTTTGTTAGCAAATGTTACATTAAGGTAAATTGGGTTCTTTATGGGTATTTAAGAAAATGCATAACGGCCATCGTCCGAATAATGCTAAATTTGGACCCGTGAACCAAATGATGGATACATACAATATGCATTGCGATAACATTGACTTTACAATATTACAAGCGGCGCCGTTGGTGTAGTGATAAGCGTGATTGCCTCTCATCCCAAAAGGCCTGGGTTCAATCCCAGTCAGCGCCGCCGAAATTTTCTGAGGCATAGCATCTCTGATCACGCCTCTCTTCGGAAGGGAAGTAAAGCCGTTGCACCCCGGTTCATGAGTTGATGAGTTGATAGGTAGGGTCCTGGTGTGGGAACTGCCTCCATGGCGTCGATAGCATTGGTAATCAGTACGGAAAACAAGATCGACGGAAAACAAATCAAGGAAAGAAAAGGTAAATGCATATTCGTAATCTGCATGAACCGAAATCCAAAATAGCATATTTTTTTGCTGGAACTGTTTCAAATAAGTGCGATTACATTAGCGAAAACAACCATCTTAGCGCCCCTCGGTGGAACTTTGTTTAGAAGCATGCTGTCTGATTTTTCGGTTAGTGTCAAACAGTGAAATCATTATTTTGATTTAAATCTTGATTTAGAAATCGAGATGAAAGTCTATGGTTTCGAAGAAAATTTAGTTGTGCTCAGAAAACGAAGCTCTTTCAGACGATGTGCAAAAATGGATATTTATTTTTTCCAAATTAAAGAACCCAATTGAATGTTGAATATGTGCCTGACAACAACACCAATTTTATTACAGAAACAACAGGCTGGTTTATCGTTGTCATTGCAATCAAATATTCATTTTGATTGCATTCTGACAACTTGAACCAAAGATCGATCCCTACTAATTTGCCAATATCTCGATACAAACTTCAAACAATTTGCGCGACCTCTAAACTTTCAACAACCCTCTCCATTTTTTGGACAGGCTTATATTTAAAGGTTATGAATCTAAATGGTGGAATATCAGATTGCAAATCCTATTTTTCTAAATGAAGCACTTGATGGCCAACTACGCTGTCTGCGAATTTCACCCTGGTCGATCTAACTCGCGGTTAGCATCCCCCAACTGGACCAAAAGTTCATTGTGAGGTTTTTTAATCCTGTGCAGAATATAACTCAATAGGCGAAATTACTCTATTGGGCCCATTGATAAACATCTGCTGTTCTTCAGTTTTCCGTAGAACAATGCGTTATCGGGACAATACAAATGGATATTTTTGGTTGCTAGTGATTCATTGTCAAAAAGTGATTTCCTTCGAGATATGAGCCAATATTCACGGGGGAGTCATAAGTAGCGGGACAAAATAAAAGCACGTTTGGTAAAAAAGGTTTGTTTTTTTTTTTCAAATTCAATTCTTTATTGCATTTTTACAAGTCCATTCAATGTGCGTTTGAGGTGAATCACAATTAAACGTGTC